CCAAAACAATGAATGCTTATCACAAATACGATTAGACACACACCAGTCAGATCTGTCGTTATCTCAACCCTTCGTGCCCCACATTGGGCACCAAAAAGAACTGTCATGGTTTAAGCCCAGCCTGTCACTCGGAAACCATGCAGCTGTTCGCTCACTCCCCCTCCTTCCTCCCCCTGCTCCTGGAGGGATGGGGAGGGAAAAAGAAAGAATGTAACTCCCATGGGTTGAGATAAGAGCGGTCCAGTAACTACGGTATAACACAAAACCACTACTGGTACCACCAATAATAATTGATGGCTTGGCTTCGCGAATGAAGATTTGGGAAGGGCTTTACCCACGCTTACTACAATCAATATGACCAAGGACATGCGGGATAGGCAAATCTGGTTGGAAAAAAGGCTGCTGAGGCAATCAGGAATTTTCTGACTAGGACTGTCATCTCCTGGGGCAATCTCTAGCGACCAATGTCCTGATCCACCCACATGCAAAGTTGGATCTGCAGCTTCCAATGCACCTTGGCACCAGCCATTTCGACCCTCACCTGTCACTACAGACAAATGAGAAGAAACCCTTCCAGCCTGCGCAGTGGATTTTTTAGGTGAAGTGCAGCGTGCACAGAACTGGCCCCACCCTTTACACCTGAGGTTTATCTGCCACAGCCTAGCTAGTTCGGAAGGTGACATCAAAGTCCTAAGGTCATAGGTTTTGTAACAGTGTCCCTCTCTTAGATGGAAGACCATACAAGGCTAGACGAGCTCCATCTGCCCGGGTTTGAAGTTAGGAGATTTCCTTCTCGTATAAGGATGGCTTGGCTTTGCTAACGAAAATTCGGGAAGGGCATTACCCACACATTCTGAACAAGACTGTCATCTCCTGGGTCAATAACAAGCAACCGATGATGTAACAGCACAACATTAAACGTCTAGGTGGGATTCTGACTTAGAGGCGTTCAGTCATAAGCCAATAATAATAATGATAAGGGAAATAACAAGGGAAGAGAATACAGCCCCTCACCACCCGCAAATTGATACCCAGCCTGACCCAAGCAGCGATCTAGCCCTTCTGGGTAACTGCCCCCAGTTTATATAGTGGGCATGATGTGCTGTGTTATGGAATACCCCTTTGGTTAGTTTGGGTCAGGTGTCCTGTCTCTCCTTCATCCTGACTTCCCCTCCTCCCTGGCAGAGCATTAGACACAGAAAGTCCTTGGTCAGACTAAACATTACTAAGCAGCAACCAGAAACATCAGTGTTATCAGCGCTGCTCCCAGGCTGAAAGTAAAAAACACACCACTGCACCAGCCACCAAGGAAAAAAACAACTGCTATTGCTGAACCCAAGACATCGACAAAGATGTTGAACAAAACTGGCCCCAACACTGATCCCTGAGGGACACCACTTGTTACTGGTCTCCAGCCGGACATTGAGCCATTGACCACAGCTCTTTGCGGGTGGCCATCCAGCCAGTTCTTTATCCACCGAGAGGTCCACCTTTAAAATTGATGTCTCTCCAATTTAGAGACAAGGATGTTCTGCTGGATAGTGTTGAACGCTTTGCACAAGTCCAGGTAGATGACATCATCTGCTCTACCCCTGTCCATCAGTTACGTAGCTCCATCATAGAAAGCCACCAAATTGGTCAGGCAGGATTTCCCCTTAGTGAAGCTATCTATCTTGGCTGTCACCAAGCATCTTATTGTTTTTCATATGCCTTAGCACGCTTTCCAGGAGAATCTGCTCCAAGATTTTGCCAGGCACAGAGGTGAGACTGGCTGGTCTGTAATTCCCTGGGTCATGATTTTCCCCTTCTTGAAAATGGGGGTTATATTTCCCTTTTTGCAGTCATCGGGAACTTCACCTGACTGCCATGATTTTTCAAATATGATGGACAGTGGCTTAGCAACTTCATTTGCCAGCTCCTTCAGGACCCACGGATGGATTTTTCAGGTCCCATGGACTTATGTACTCTCAGGTTCTTAAGATAGTCTCAAACTAAATCCTCTTCTACAGTGGGCCCAAGGTCTTCATTTTCACAGTCCCTGCATCTGCCTTCTAAGACTTTGGTGGTGTGGTCAGAGCCTTTGCCAGTTAAGACTGAGGCAAATAACTCATTAAGAACTTCAGCCTTCTCTAAATCCAGGGTAACCAGTTCACCTGATAGCTTCCGGAGAGGGCCCACGTTGTCCCTAGTCTGTCTTCTATTTGCAACGTACCTATAGAATCCCTTCCTGTTATCCTTAACATCCCTTGCCAAGTTTAATTTTAACTGGGCCTTAGCTTTCCTAACCTGGTCCCTAGCTTCCTGGACAACATCCCTGTACTCTTCCCAGACTGCCTGTCCTTGCTTATACCTTTTATAAGCCTCTTTTTTCCCCTCCAAGTTTCCTCAGCAGCTCCTTATTCAGCCATGGAGGTCTCCTGGACCTCTTGTTGCACTTTCTTCTAGTTGGGATGCAACACTCCTGAGCTTGTAGCAGGGGATCCTTGAGTATCAACCAACAGTCTTGGGCCCCCCTGCCCTCTAGGGCTATATCCCATGGAACCTTACTAAGCAAGTTCCTGAAGAGGCCAAAGTCTGCTCTCCTCAAGTCCAGGGCAGTGAGCTTGCTGCATGCTCTTCTCACTGTCCTAAGGATCTCGAATTCGACCATCTCACGATTGCTGCAACCAAGGCTGCCGTGGAGCATCACATTTCCAACCAGCCCTTCCTTGTTGGTGAGCACGAGGTCAAGCATGGCACCTCTCCTTGTCAGCTCCTCTATTACTTGAAGAAGGAAGTTGTCTTCCACAAAATCAAGGAACCTCCTGGATTGCTTGTGCCGGGGCATACTCTCCCTCCAACAGACATCAGGGTGGTTGAAGTCCCCCCTGAGAACAAGGGCCTGCGAGTGTGAGGCTGTTCCTATCTGTCTACAGAGCGCTTCATTCATCTATTGACCTATTGGGTCTGTAACAGATTCCAACAGTAATGTCTCCCATGGCTGTTTTCCCTTTAACCCTGACCCACAAACTCTCTGTTGACTGATCACCTGTCCCCAGACAAAGTTCCATACTCTCCAGCCTATCCCTAACATAAAGGGCAACTCCCCCTCCCTGCCGGGCCTGTTTTTTCTAAAAAACCTGTAACCTTCCATTCCAAGACTCGAGTCATAAGAGCCATACCACCATGTTTCTGTGATGCCTCTTATATCATACCCCTGTAGACATGCACACGTCTAATTCCTCTTGGTTGTTCCCCATGCTACGGGTGTTTGTATAGAGGCATCTGAGCTGACCTCCAAATGAAGCTGGCTCATTGGCTGGAGCAGCTGGAATATCTCTACATTTCTCTGAGCATTTATTACAGGTGCTGGCAACTGACTGGGAGTGCTGGGATGGAATGATGCCCCCTTCCCCCAACACATCTAGTTTAAAGCTTCCTTGACCAGTCTGGCAAGCCTCCTACCAAAACCACTCTTCCCCTTTGTTGTCAGATCAGCTCCACCAGCCCCCAGTAGACTTGGCCTACTAAATTGAGAGCCATGTTCTAGATATACAAATCCCTGACTATGGCACCACCCTTCTAACCATTTATTAACCTGCCCAAACCTCCTAGCCTTTTTAAGGTCCTCCCCTTTATCCTGGACAATTGATGAGAAGATTATCTGAGCTCCAGAGCCCCTAACCACCTCTCCCAGAGCTCTGTAGTCCTTCTTTATGTTCTCTGGGCTACTGCTGTCTATATCACTAGCACCCACATGGATGGCTGAAGTGGGTAATAGTCAGTGGGATTTACTAGACCAGGCAGCCTCTCTGCAACATCCCTCATCCATGCCCCTGGTAGGCAACACACCTCCCTTGAGACTGGGTCAGGCAGACAGATGCATGCTTCTGTTCCTTTCAAAGTAGAGTCCCCTACTACTATGACCCGCCGCTTTTTCCTGGCAGCACCATTAGTCATCTTTTTCACCAGTGTTTGCCATTTGTTCCTGGTGCGAGTGTGTTTCCTTATTAGCCCCCTGCAGAACAGCAAAGTGGTTCTGGGTGGGGACAACAGATTTAGGAGCTTTTAATTGTCCTCTTCCTCCTTTTTCTGTTTGTTACTATTTCCCAGCTTCCTGGGTTAATGGCCTCTTTCTTTCCTCCATGAGCTACAGCAGATGGTTGAGGCCCCTGCACAGCTTGGGCCTGGAGCAAGCAGTCCTGCTTCCTCTCCGCTTCCCTCACATCTTTCAGCCTATTGACAGTGTCCCACAGCTCAGCTGCCTGCTGTAGGAGGACCTCCACCAAGACACACCAAGTGCAGCCCTGCCCATTGTGCACCCTCGCCTCAGGAGAGCAGTGCAGGCACTCTCTACACTCCAAGCTCTGTACTGCAGCCTCCCCTCTCATCAGCTCTGTCTGGGTGCCTACACTGGCCACCGCTGGGACAGCCAGAGCAGAGCTCCCAGACTGGGCCCTGGTCATAAGATGAGTGCTCACCATCCTGCTCACCATCCTGCTCACCATCCTGCTCACCATCCTGCTCACCATCCTGCTCACCATCCTGCTCACCATCCTGCTCACCTGCCCACACAACCTGCCTTCCTTGATCAACCCTTTTTCACCACACTCCTAATCACTTGAGCTCCCTGGGGCAGGTTTTTAACCAGTCAGGGTTGGTGCCTGGCACCGCCCCCTGTGAGTCAGCAGCTTGCATCAGCTGAGCTGCCAGCTCCTGGGCAAGTCCTGTGAGGACTTGAGGCTTCCCAGGTGGCTCTTGCCACTCTGAGTTGAGGCTCCTGGAAGCTAAGCTTCCCCCCACTCAGGTGTTGAAGGCGTCCTCTCTTGAGCTAGTCATCTCAGTAATTGACCCCTCAGCAACTGACTCTCATGCTCTGCCAGGACACAGCAGAGACATAACACCTGACCCAAACTAGCCAGAGTGGTATTCCATACCACAGCACATCATGCCCAGTATATAAACTGAGGGGGAGTTACCCAGAGGGGACCTATCGCTGCTTGGGTCAGGCTGGGTATCAGTCAGCAGGCAATGAGCAATTGTACTGTGCATTGCTGCTGGTTAGTGGTTTACTTTTTTCCTTTCCCCTCGTAGTTTTATATTCTCTCCCCTTGTTATTTCCTGTTATTTCCTGTTAGTAGTAGTATTATATTGTACTTTACACTTCTAGGCACAAGAATGTGATGAGTTACAGGGTATACACACAGCAGCTGAAACAACAGCCCAGAGATATGTGAACAGACAGCTATCTCAATTACCTGTCAAGAAATTCAAACTATAGCCTTAATTTGGCAGAGGACCGTTTCAGCAGCAGCATCTAGCTGCTTAGGCTTCAAAAAACACAGCACTGTTGCAGGACCACTATATTCTTCAGCAAGGAAAATTTGGCAGAGGAAACAGCTCACCATTTCTCCCATGTATAATTGTGGACAAAGCTGCGCATCAGCCACAAATCCATACACAAAGTTCAGCTGGGAGGTTTTGAAAGAACACTTGGGCCATTAAAAAAGAAGTATTTTGTATACAGAAGGTGGAGAAACAGCTTGGATCATGACCCTCTTTAGATCTGGCTGCTGTGTTCACTGCACAGCACTGGCAATTGACCCTACTAAATCTCACTCAACATCAACCTCAAGTCTCGTGTTACCTTTCCCAGGTCTGGTGCCAGCAGATTTGTTTTGTGCTTGAGATGACCCACTGTAGCCTCCTTTGCTGTAATCTCCATCAGCCATTCCCTGTGTTAATTCATCATAGCCTGCCAGTGTGTACAAGACAAGGTGTTAGAGTGTGCAAGCAGCTGGGCAGGCGCTCATGTGAGAAGAGCAGTGGTAGGCATACCTGCCCCGTAGCCATGCTGCCCATAGCCACTCACTTGCTGGAAAGGAGTCGATGGGGTGTTCAGGTTGACTCCATGCTGCTTTGCAGATGCCGGAGGTACCTGGACAAAGGAAGGGAACAAAAGGCCCTGTTAAATGGGGAACAGCAGTAAAATACAAGCTCCCTCTGCCATCTAAGGTGGAAGGAACCTCCACCTCATGTGGGAAATTTAATCCAGAGTTGGAAGCAGTAGGATAGCATGAGACATGGCACTCATGCTTCCAGCAGTAATTTGCTGTAGTGGCTTTACATGAGCCTCAAATTTTCTGCCAGAGCCACACCTCTGACTGCAGTGTAACCATGTTTCAGAACAGGTTGTTGTTTCAGAACAGCAAATTCTCACCCACAGACCCAAGAAGAAGCAACCACAGTGCCATCCCTCCAGAATCAAGTGACACACCAACTCTTTTCTGAAGCTGTTTCATAAAACACAGTCCTACAGGGCCCTAAAAGCGACTCATTTACTCTTCCGCCTAGAGCATCACTTCTTCCCAAGTAATATCCTCCCTCCTGAGACTATCAGCCCTGCTCTCTGACTTAATGGGATCTCCCCCATCCTCAAAGGGACTTCCTAGGCACACAGCTCACTGACTCAGCTTTGGGTCTCCCTCTGACTCTGCAGAGGCTGCTACAGGCTTTCAGGAACACTGAGTCCATGAGCCGTACCTGTCTGCTATTTATAGTAATCTGTGCAGGAGTCCATGAGTTCTGGCCTTTTAAATTTCCTGTTTTCTCGCGGAAGAGACCACAGCTATTTTCTCATGCTTGCACATTTTTGGAGAACCCTTGCAGACTGGGGAAGGTGACTACGCTGCTGTCATGAGACCACACCTGGAGTACCATACCCAGTTCTGGGTCCCTCAGCACAAGACAAACGTGGATCTGTTAGAGGAGGTCCAGAGGAGGCCCATGAAAATGATCAGAGGGATGGAACACCTATGAGAAAAGTCTGAATTGGGGTTGTTCAGCCTGGAGAAGAGAAGGCTCTGGGGAGACCTTATAGGAGCCTTTCAAGACTTAAAGAAGGCTTATAAGAAAGATACATACTTTTTACCAGGGCCTGTAGTGACAGGACAAGGGACAAGGATTTTAAACTGAAAGAGGGTAGATTTAGATTGGACATAAGGAAGAAACTTTATGAGAGTGGTGAAACACTGGAACAGTGTTGTGGTTTAAGCCCAGCTGGTAATTCAGAACCATGCAGCCACTTGCTCACTCCCCCCCCTTCCTCCCCCCGCTCCTAGAGGGATGGGGAAGAGAATCAAAAGAATGTAACTCCCACAGGTTGAGATAAGAACAGTCCAGTAACTAAGGTATAACACAAAACCACTACTGCTACCACCAATAATAATAATTATAAGAGAAATAACAGGGGAAGAGAATACAACTGCTCACCACCTGCCAACCGATACCCAGACCAACCCGAGCACTAATCTAACCCTTCCAGGTAACTGCCCCCAGTTTATATAGTGGGCATGATGTGCTGTGGTATGGAATACCTCTTTGGCTAGTTTGGGTCAGGTGTCCTGTCTCTGCTTCCTCCCAACTTCCCCTCCTCCCTGGCAGAGCATGAGACTCAGAAAGTCCTTGGTCAGAGTAAACATTACTTAGCAACGAGTAAAAACAATGGTGTTATCAGCATTGTTCCCAGGCTGAAAGTCAGAAATACAGCACTACACCAGCTACTAAGAAGGAGAAAAATGACTGCTACTACTGAACCCAGGACAAACAGATTTCCCAGAGAGGTGGTAGATGTGCCATCCCTGGAAACTTTCAAGGTCAGGAGAGTTACAGCTTAGGCTGTCACACTTACAAACATGGTTGGCCCATACTGGAATGCATTGGGTACACCGTGCACACCAGCATAATAAGGTAATCCAGTGTAGCTGTAGCCCGGGGGCAGGGTTGGGTTGAGGAAGGGCTGCTGAGTTGTGTGGTGAGTCTGCGTCTGGTTCTGCTGCAGCTGGGCGAGTGTAATAGTAGGAGCAGGTGAGGCAGAATCCCCGTGTCCAAATTTTGTTATGTCACCTGCAAAAGAACAAACTAATCAATCAGAAAAGCTATCAAAGGCACCCCAAAATTGGAAGATTCAAATCCTCTGAATACAAGTAGACAGCTACAGAAGAGAGCACATCCTACACTTCAAAGGCTGCAGTTGTTAATGGGAAGAACTCTCCTGGTCTCTGTTCATGGCACAAAACTCTGTGCCATGGCTAATCCACTGATGAAGTAGAGATAACCAGTACTTACCTATCTCAGACAGTCTGAGCAGATTCATTGCTATCAGATCACTGTAATAAAACATGTTAAAAGCAGAAGTATGGTAAAAAGCCAAAGAGCAAACGGTTGTTGGGTTCACAGCTGTTTACATTAGTAACAATTTTGCACTTATTCTCAAGGGCTACCCAACTTCCAGAAGAAGTCACATATGAATTACTGACCAAACCCATGAAGGTTTAAAAAAAATAAAAAAATAAAAAGAAAAAAAACACAGTATCAGGGTTGAGAGGGAGATGCTCACTTTTGTCTGTCTAGTTTGGACTGATGGGTTTAACTGCTTACAGAAGGGAAAAACAACTGCTCCTTCAGAAAAGGCAGGATGACTAGCACATCTCATCATCCTCATCTTTAAATAGCACTCACCTGAGTATGGGTTGTTAGCAAGGCTTCCATCTCTGCCTGTCAAGGTTGCAGGAGCAGGGAATGTAATTCCATAGTAATCCTTAGAAAGAGACAACATTGTTTATTGATAGTTGAAACCGTAACAGAGCTGGACAGCTCTTATGAACCCCATATTATACGTATAAGAAAATCTAAAAAGGAAGAACTAAAGGAAGCTTGAGTAGAAGCTGACCTTATTGCTTCCAGTGGAGCTGAAGATTTACCTGGATCCTCAACTTCAAAATATACTTACTTTATAGACATTTTTAATATCACATACAAATACTTAATCTCTTAATAGTAAGTTAAAGGCAGCAACTAAACGCTTTCCCCTCCCAACCCTCAGCTCTGGGCTGTTATATTTCAGCAAGACTGTACCTAGAAGAACAAGAGACCCATCAGAGGCCAAAGAACTGGGGTCAGGCCAGGACTATAATCACAACATGGATGTAATCTAAAGGTTTTACCCTTGTACTACACCCTCTTTTCTGAAAGTTAAAGCATCAGCTAGGAAAACAGAACAAACATAAAAAAAGGAAAAATTAATTAAACTACATTGCAGGAGACCTCAGATCAGTAGTCTCCAAAGTGGGGTGCGCAAGACAATCCATTAGGGTGCATAAAGAAAATGTTTCAGGTACCATTAATAAATAAAATTAAAACAAAATAAAAACAGCGTTTAACCTTTCTCTTATCCTTTTTAATTTTTTTTCAGGTATGTTTTATACAGTAGTATATGTCTCACATTTATTAATAAAAATGTATTGTGTTCACAAAATTTTACTGATGGGGTGTGTGATCAAAAGTTGGAGAACACTGCCTAAGAATATTCTTCTAGGTCCTCTACAAGAAGGTAAGACAGTCCTCACTCTAGAAAGCTCACCCTTCAAGATGACAGGACATGCCAGCAAAACCAAAGCAGCATTTAGTCTTCAGTTTGGGCAAAAAAGAGAAAAGCTTGCCCTTCCCTCTCCTGGTGAAATCCACATGTGGGTGTCGTGGTTTAAGCCCAGCTGGTAACTCAGAACCACGCAGCTGCTCGCTCTCTCCCCCCCTCTCCCGGAGGGATGGGGAGGAGAATCAAACGAATGTAACTCCCACAGGTTGAGATAAGAACAGGCCAGTAACTAAGGTATAACACAAAACCACTACTCCTACCACCAATAATAATAATGAAAAGGGAAAAAATAAGGGAAGAGAATACAACCACTCACCACCTGCCAACTGATACCCAGACCGACCCGAGCAGTGATCTAGCCCTTCCGGGTAACTGCCCCCAGTTTATATAGTGGGCATGATGTGCTGTCGTATGAAATGCCTCTTTGGTTAGTTTGGGTCAGGTGTCCTGTCTCTGCTTCCTCCCGACTTCCCTTTCTCCCTGGCAGAGCATGAGACTCAGAAAGTCCTTGGTCAGAGTAAACATTACTGAGCAGCAACTAAAAACATCGGTGTTATCAGTGCTGTTCCCAGGCTGAAGGTCAAAAACACAGCACTGCACCAGCTACTAAGAAGGAGAAAAAAATGACTGCTACTGCTGAACCCAGGACAGTGGGACTGGTACCCTACTAAGTGTTTTTCCTCCTAATTCTCATGGCTTACTCCTCACCACCTCCAATCCATCAAGAGTTAATGCTTTAACCACTAATGCATCCAGTTCCACAGGGTCTTCAATACTGGAAAAGCATCTTTCTTCATACCTGCCTCTACAAATTCCCCAGCATCTCAAATGCTTTCTCAGAGCTGACAGCACCTTCCACCTTCCTGCATTTGCATACATACAGAGGAGGGCCATGATGATAAGGGGCCTTGAGCACCTCCCATATGAAGACAGGCTGAGAAAGTTGGGGCTGTTCAGCCTGGAGAAGAGAAGGCTGTGTGGAGACCTCATATCAGCCTTCCAGTATCTGAAGGGGGCCTATAAGGATGCTGGAGAGGGACTCTTCATCAGGGACTGTAGTGATAAGACAAGGGGAAATAGGTTTCAACTTAAACAGGGGAAGTTCAGCTTAGATATAAGGAAGAAGTTCTTTACTGTGAGGGTGGTGAGGCACTGGAACAGGTTGCCCAAAAAGGGGTGAATGCTCCATCCCTGGCAGTGTTCAAGGCCAGGTTGGACAGAGCCTTGAGTGACATGGTCTACTGTGAGGTGTCCCTGCCCATGGCAGGGGAGTTGGTACTAGATGATCCTAAGTTCCTTTCCAACCCAAGCCATTCTATGATTTCTGTGCAGCACCCCTGTCTCCTACACCTAACCCTCCATCACTGAACATGAACTAATCTGACAAAGATTTAGTATCACAGGTGCTTTCTGTAACTTGAAACGGTGCCATATTTCATCATCTTTTCCTTCCCAGGTAATTCCCCCTCATCAACTCCAGCATGAATCACTTAACAAAACACATCCAAATTCCTATTAAAAGTCTTTGCAGGTTACTCAAAAGCAGCACTCCCATCTGCTTCTAAGGAAAATGGCACAAAAAGCAGATTTGGAGAAGAGATCTGAACAGGATACAGTGGATATGAACTGGAATTGACACATTAGCATTTTCCCCTATATAAACCAGAAAAAATAGAACCAAATCTACATGAGAACAGGGTCTAAGGATTGCCATTATTCCCACTGCCCATCAGGTGAAAAAAACCCCATCAGCACTGCATATACCTATCCCACACACCTGTGCATACACACTTTCAAAACAAACAAAAAAAATCATTAGAATATATGATTGCAATACAGTTATCTTTGCATTTCATGTCCACCCATAGGAAAACATCAGAAGAGATACTCTGTTCTTCAGACAATATAGGTATTTCCTGACCTACAGAAGGCATGCAGTAGAAGGTGCCTAAAGCCAAAACTGATATATCAGGAATAGACTCAAAAGGTGAGACAGAAAAGGACTGAAAAATGGTAAGCGATCTGACATAATAGATTTAAGCTCTACCAAGCATCTCACTAGGTACCACGCACACCAGTTAAGACATCTGTAAGTTCTCTACTACACAGGCAGCCTGCAACAAACTAGCAGAAAAGACCACATATCCCAATGTAATTCACACAAAAATGAACAAAACAAAAAAACACCAAACAAAAAAAAAGAGTGACAGTTTACAGCATCAACATGCACATTAAGAAATTCAGTTAAAGTAAAAAAAAAAAACAACAAAACATCACCACCCCCAAACCTCAGGGGAAACCCCCATTCTCACTATATCAGCAGCCACTGGTACCTCTTACTGCTGGAAGCTTCCCAGGAAGCAATGACAACTTGCACTTGGGACTCTGTCCATTTTCACTTTCTAGATGTGAATGGATCAGGTTGTTGTGGTGGTTTAACCCCACGCAGACAGCTTTCACTCACTCCCCCCCCCTCCTTCTTGCCCTCCCCCTACTCCTGGAGGGACAGAGAGGAGAATCAGAAAGAATGCAACTCCCACTGGTTGAGATAAGAACAGTTTAGTAACTAAGGTATAACACAAATCACTACTGCTACCACCAATTAGAATAATGACAAAGGAAATAACGAGGGAAGAGAATACAACACCCCATCACCAGGCGACCGATAACTCGCCCCCCCAGCCCAACCAAGCACCGACCGATACCTCCTCCAACCCTGCAGTCCACAGCCCTTCTGGGTAACTCCCAGTTACATCCTGGGCATGACGTGCTGTGGTATGGAATACCTCTTTGGTCAGTTTGGGTCAGGTGTCCTGTCTCTGCTCCCTCCTGGCTTCCCCTCCTCCCTGGCAGAGCATGAGACTCACAAAGTCCTTGGCCAAACCAAAACATCATTTTTGTCAGCTTTGTTCCCAGCCCGAAAGCCAAAACACAGCACTGCACCAGCTACCAAGAAGGAGAAAAAAAATTACTGCTGCTGCTAAACCCAGGACATTATCCACCCCTTATTCCATACCATTCACGTCATGCTCAGATCCTACATTTTCAATATACCATCACTCTTATCTAAGTGCACTCTCATCGTAGTGCACGGGCCAGTCCCCATAAAGCTGCTGAGTCCATCTGGTCCATGATGTCAGGCTCCACCTCTTGTAACAGTCTTTCAGAGCACGAAAGGCTATGTGCAGTGCTCACACACATGAATAACATGGGCAATAGTGTCCATTGCTAAGTCCACCCCTCGATCATGAGTCCATCTTGATGTTGCCTCTCTGCTCTGTTGGCCTTAAGGGTCATGGGCCAACCAGGCTCAAAATAATTCACTGTCCTTCCATCTCCAATGCTTCCAAAGCACTGGAGGGGCCCAGTGGACTAGATACTTGCCCATACTGTCCCAGTAGAATTCAGGATCTTGTGTGGTAGGGCCAGTAGAATAGCAAGTAGAATCGCAACCCTGGACTTTAGCAGGGAAAACTTTGGCCTCTTCAAGCAATTGCTAGGGGAAATCCCATGGGCTAGGCTGCTTGAAGGTAAAGGGGACCAAGATAGTTGGTTGACGTTCAAGGACTGCTTTTTCTGAGCTCAAGATCGGAGCATCCTGACATGTAGGAAGTCAAGGAAGAGGGTCAGGAGTCCTGCATGGCTAAATAGGGAATTGCTGGGTATGCTAAAGTGGAAGAGAAGAGTTTACAGGTCATGGAAGGAAGGGCTGGCCACTTGGGAAGAATATAAGGCTGCTGCTAGAAGATGTAGGAAAGCTGATAGGATGACTAAGGACTCCTTGGAATTAAAGCTGGCGAGAGGGGTCAAGGACAGCAGAAAGAGCTTTTTCAAATACATGGCAGATAAAACTAACACCAGAGGCAATGTAGGCCCGCTGATGAACGGGATGGGTGCCCTGGTGACAGAAGATACAGAGATGGCAGAGTTACTAAATGCCTTCTTTGTCTCTATCTACACTGCCGGAGGCAGTCCTGAAGAGCCCTGTACCTCTGAGACCTCAGATGAACACACGTCAACGGAGCGGTATGCCTTAGTTGATGAGGAATGGGTTAGAGACCAGTTGAGCAATCTGGACATCCATAAATCCATGGGTCCAGATGGGATGCACCCGCGGGTGCTGAGGGAACTGGAGGAGGTCATTGCTAGACCACTCTCCATCA